TAATTTTGAAAATTATGTTTTTATTAAAACTTGAATATGTAAAATGTTCCTATAAATTTTAAAGGAATGCGTTATTTTATATTCAGTGTCTATGATTAAAATTGGTGTGATAATTTATCGATCAACTTAAAAGAATTTTTGTAGAGCAATCGTGTTTAATTTGTTTAAATATTATCAAAATAAAGGAAATTTTCTATTGAAAAGTGTCTTGTTTCAGAGAATTGCTTAGCTCGACCCTTCGTAAAAGTCCATATTTATAAGCCTCACCAAAGGAGTTTGTCGCCCTCTATCTTGGCAAGGTATATTATCCAACCTCGATTGGTGCACCACTCTATTTAAAGAAATTTGATCGGATATTGTGTTCGGTAAGTCGACCGTCATTTCAATTTCACTTAGGACATATCATGTGACTTAGGTCATGATTGTTTGTTTTCTAAACTTTCGTTATTCCTTTCAAATCGATGAAAGTAAAAGGTGCTGACCTCAAAGATGACACTTATTTTCTCTTGATTGATCGTTATGGAGGCGTTGATGTCAACAAGTGAGGTTTTCTAATAATGCGGCTTCATGGAAGAATTTATTGGATCGATCGATCCATGGAGCGACATTCCACTATGATTTGAAGATCACATAATTGACCTTTTTAGTCAGTTTTAAATGGATAAAACCAAGTGTACATGCAATTTATTTTTATTTTTTTTCCAAATTTTTACATGTGCTATATGTGTGTGTGATTTTTTTATTTTTTATTTTTTGACAGGATTTTTACAATGTGACAATGTTCTCTCTCTCTCTTAACTACAAATAAAAACTTGACAAGTGTAAATTTGTAAAAATTCTGTCAAAAACTTGTATATATAGCTTTATTCCTTTTAAAATGGGTCCATAGCAGGACTTGACATTTCACACCGACAATGTATAATAATTAAAAAATATTAGAAATTACCACGTCAAGAATCATATAAACTTGATGCTTTATCTCTATTCTTTGCCAAGTCTTGAAACCTTGGCAAAATCAATTCGACGTGTATGCACGAAGCAGATAAATAGTAAAAAAAAATAAAAATAAAATGTCTTGAATAGTTGCGCAGATATTTATGTTGTGAATTATAATATGTCATTACGCTACCCAACTTGGAGTTGACGATAAAATTTCTTTATTCTTGTAATTGATTTGTATATTACAATTTTCTTTTATTATTTATTTATTATTATTATTTTCCCCCTTACTTATGACTTAGCTAGTATCGTTTTAATTTCAACACTTGTTGTTTCGACTTTCGAGAGAGCACTATTATTTATTTTTGAATATATTAATTTTTTTTTTAATTTTACGGTAATTAGTCCCCTTTTGATTAAGAGTCTGTTTGGGAGGGATTTTGAGAATTGATTTTTTTTTTTTACATTTAGGAGAAAAGTGTGGTCCACCTGTGAGAGAAGAAGTCAAATATGACGGTTGGAATAGTGAAATAACGGTCAAAAAATCAATTTTTTGGAGGAAAAAATCACTCTCAAATAGGCTCTAAGATTAAGATGCAATTCAAAATAATGATTAATTTAACCACATATTTTATTGGATCCTAACTTTTTAAACACGTATTTAATAAAAAAAATTACTAAAAATTTAATTTTAATCTCACCAAGCAAGCCTCCAATGTAATAAAATATGTATCATACCACGTAAATATTTTACCTCTACAAATATAAGCTCCTATTTGATGGATAATAAAATCAGATTTTTAGCAATTTTTTATAAGTTAATGAAATTTATAATTGAAAATTTGTGATCTCATAAAATATATGATTAAAATTAATTATTTATTTTTATTTAAATTTAAAGGGAAGAAACGGTCAATAAAAAGTTAGGCGGTGGGCCCAAAGCAATTAAATTTTTTATACATATAAGAATTGTCAATTAAAGTGTCTCCAAGTAATGTTAATGGTTGAGCCAGCTGGAAATGTTAATGAAGTGCCAGCTGGGTTTAAGTATTATGAACTGTGCTTGATGATGACGGCTGAGATTAATCTGGCGCATAACACTGGTGCCACGTGATCATGTGCTCCTCTCTATTCTAAGACCAAACCCTGTTTGCCTAAGGGCAAATCTAATGACAACACCAAATCATCAAATTGTACCATTTTTGGTACAAAGTTGCTCAAATACAACACTATACTTCACATTATTTTGCTGCAAAATAGTGCAAAGTGTCTAAAGTTTCTTTTCTCCCTTTTTTATTCTTTCTCAAATAAATTTATTAAGAGTATTTGTGTTGTGCTATATATTTTTTAATACAATAAATTATTATTATTATTATTATTATTATTATTATTTAAAATAAATTTTAAATGTAAGAAATAATAATTAATAAATTAATTAAAAGAAGAAAAAAATTTGTCAGAAGAACATATGAATTCCGAGAATTAAATTGCAAAAATTTTGCAACTTCTTAATATCGTCTATCCAAATTCGAAATGCATTGTACTATTTTCTGATGGCATGATTAAATATTTTCATTATTGTAGTGTTTTTATTAATTGTACTATGTTTTTTTATATTTATTAATGAATATAATCTTTTCCGTAATTTAACGTAATTATTTATTTAGTAATTTATGTATTTATAAAATAATTAAATAAATAAATTTTCAATAAATTATAAAGAATAAAAAAAGGGAAGAAAATGGTTAAACTTTGTTCATTTGGTGTAATTTTTTGTGTAACAATTGAAGATAAATTTTAATTTAATGCAGCGCGGTGGACCTAAAAGATTGAGATTTCTAATAAATTTGTAAAATATGCCATTTAAGAAGTTTAATTGTAGTTTTAGTAATTTGATTTCAATTACTTATCGAGCCTATTAGTTCGATGAGGTATGTGTTAAATGTGTTTGAGTCAACTTAAATAGTTTTGAGACGGTATATAATAAATTATGTTTGATCCGAGGTGATTTGTTTGAGATTTTACTTACAAAACTTGCCATTACTAAAGCTTCATTTGTTTGCTCGTCAATCATGATTTAAGAACCTACAACGAATTTTTCAACCATCGTGATTGACCCACCTTTGTTTAGCTACAAATGAAAATTCATCTCACACGTCCTAATGAATGAAGTTTGAAATCTAATTGTAATGAATTATTCTAGTTATATAATCGGGGTTGACAATCACGATTGACAACATATTCACAGGAGGGGGATCTACGATTTTTTTTTTTATTCAGGTGGACCCCTTCCCATGTGTATGGTTGTCAACTGAGATTGTACATGGAGCATAACTGAATTGTAATACTATTTTTTAGAATTTGAAGTACTATTTTTAGCTATTAGGTAATTTTATCTCAGTTAAAGCCCCTTGGACAATCCCTGAAACCAAGAATAACCCTTTTATCTCAATTCTCTTATAAATGCATTACCTACCTGACAAAAGTTGATATCAAATTTTGTTCGCATCTTTCGAAAGATGATGGACTTAGATGTGAGGAAAAAAAAACTTTAAGTAAAAGCCACTTTATTTTATAATGCTAATGTTCAAATAACTTTGGAAATGATCATAGTCCACGTCTATTTTTTTTTTAATCGTTATTCCCACTTCAAAATTCTTGAACAAGAACGAAATAATAAGTTATAACACAAGTTTAGTAATTCTCGCACGACATGTTCTCATCGAAGCAAATACTAATTTATTAGTTAGGTCAAGTACTTTCTTTTCAATTAACTAAATAAAGTTATATCGAATAAAGAATCGACGGTGGGGCGTTGGGGGGAGCAGGTGGTATTGTTGCTTAGGATTCCCGAAAGAAACAACGGCATAGGCACACGGGTTCGAATGAGGTGCTATTGGCTCACACACACTGCACCAATCAGAAGGTAGCAGTTTGTCTACACAGTATTATATTCACTGCCACCAGGGAATTCAAGTACAAGACTTTGTTTTCGTTCTTAGTCCGGCGCCAAGAGCATTTCTTGATAAGCCTTTTTTATATTAAAGAGTCATCCTTTTAGTGTTAAATAATCACTTCTTTATGTTAAAGTTTATTTGCTTATAAGTACTAACTTTAACTTTATTGACAAGTAAGCTCTTTAAGCTTAATCAAATATGCAACAAGTTCTAAGGTTCCTAGTGGTGGAGGTTGAGATGGGCATTGTAGCTTCTGAAGTTTAACAATCTATGGTATATTATATTGTTTCGTTTCAATTAAATGACGACCTTTGCGAGCTACTTCCAAAGTTTTGGATGTATAACAATTCCTGAATATCGGGAGTGATCAAGGAAGACGATCATTCATTCTTACTTATTTGATAGTGTTTATAAATTGGTTTAAACATAATTTTTAATCACACATTATTTAAAATCCACCATTAAGCACTCACAAGCTAATTGTCGTATAGCACGTTGGATAAATAGCTTACCATGATTTGTTGAGATGTTGATTGATAATCATTGATATCTGACAATTGTGGGTTAGGACCAAAAGTTTTATGCCACCTAAAATTTCAGTTATAGGTTGTGATTTCAAACATACACATATATTGATTACTGTATAGCACGCATCTCCCCTAAAAATATTAGTTACGTGTCTTGAGAGCATCTCCAATCATAAAATAAAATTGACGGTAAATTAATATCATCAAAATCACTTTGACATCTTCATTTACATTCCAATGAATCTAAATTCAAATTTTGCTCAAATGAAAAAATTTAAGTTCACTTTTTGCCTCTTGTAAATACATTTTCAACTGAAAAATACAATTTGCATTTCCTTTGTATCTCTACATTGGAGATATCTTCTACCATTTTGGAGATCTGAATCACAATTTAAATCTATTTTACATCATAATTGAAGATCCCCAAGACCTCGATCATATATATGTATATGAATATTGGGTATTGCAAGGACTCATCATGGATGTTAAACAAGGGTTATGTCTACATGTACATGTTTGGCTAAGCTTAAAAAGAGAAAAAAATAAAATAAAATAAGAAAGAAGAAGAAGAAGGGTCTACTGCAAACTTCTTGGAAGCATATAATTTGTGCTAGAGGATAGCCAAACCTTAAATGCGCTGTACATGTCAATACATAGATAGGATCAGTGTAACCCATTTTCTAATTGGAAATATCAATTTGCAATGCAAAAAATTATATCAACCAGTGTAATAACAGTAACACAAACGAATCATTCCTAATCTCCATATCAGGAAACTAAATGCCAAAAAAGGGGAAAAAAGAACGTGCAAAACCAAGCAATTGCATGAAGAATCTCGTATTGCAACCATTCCCAGAGTTATCTATGTTTTATTCCGCGTTCGTCCAAGCTTCTGCTTCTGAGAAGCACAGTTTGTTGATTTGACTCATGGAAGCACGGCTCTGAGTTCTTTCCTATCCGCTCCAAAAGCCTGTAAAATTAAACAAGAATTTACAGTTCCTCAGTTCAGCAGCTTTTGCCAAATTTAAATTTTCAGCATTACATATTTGATACTATCAAATCTCTATACTACAACTCAACATTTTTTGCACGTCAACTCTACTCCATACCACCAGCTTATACTCAAATATAAGCAGCTTCAAAGAAATTTAAACCAGTAAGAAAGACAACGCCAAAATTAAATCTCAACTCAAAACAAGAGGGTTTTGATATCTTTTGCTGCATACTCGTACACATGCACATGGATATATAGATAGATCGAAAGGGAGGAAGGCAGGAAAGACCTGCCCAGAAGGTCAGTGAATTTAACATAATCCTACATCACAAGTCATACACCAAAATAAACTAAGAACAAATATAATGCAAAATGGAAAGGTTAAAATGTGCACCTAAATTCATTCCTTGTTTCTTGATGCAAAATAAACAAATACGGAATTAAAGAGCACTATTTATGCAACCACACAATAATCGAAAACTTGCAAGATTCTTCTGATTACTTCTAACTCTGATGAAATTCCCATCACGCGGATCCCTGATGACATCCATGTACTTGGCTTTGACTCCTTAGTATTCTAACTTCTAAGAATCAATAGGCCACTATAAAACATTTTTTATTCTTATATTCTATTTCGCTTCATTAGTCTCCTTAACAAATAAATAGTTTCAGAAGGCCCAACTAATTTTCTCAAAGCAGTCTACAAGTATAAACTGTAGCTTGATCACTCTCCTCCAAATATTCGTTTTGTAATTTCTAACATATATCTCCATTATTCATTGAATGGGAGCTAGCATACCCTTATTCCAGTCATATGGCATCTTTTTGGTTGAAATGGTTTCTTCCTCAATTACCTTGGTCAGTTAAGAAACAACTTCTCCAAGATATTTCACACCCAACAAGCCCATCTGAATCCAAAGCCTCGCCAATTTCCATCTTTTAATTCATTTAATTACACGCCTTCAGGACACTTTTAAAACAATCAAAACCTATGGAGCAGTCAAGCAATTAAGCCTATGGAATTATCCATAGGCCCCATTGTTAATTTCTTCATATAGACAGAAATAACTTAGTAATACTTACGATTCAATGATTGCAAACATGATTTGCATGAGATTTGGGAAAAAGTAATTAAATATGTTGAAACATACGTTCTAAAAATTACTACTGCAAAAGACTCCTTCCAAATCGTTATCAATAATTAGAGAATATAAATGTATACCATACTCTGCTTGTCCCATTACTTTAATTCCACCTCATTCCTACACTGCATTCTAACAGTGCAAAACAACAAAGCCTATGGAGCACTTAGCAGTTAGCACTATGCCAGTCCACAATGTCACCCAAACAAAGAATTCTTTTATATCTCTAATGCTAAACAAATCACCTCTACAATTCGACGTGCCGTGGGTTGCAAAGGAGAAGGCAAAAACTTACAAAATATAATCTCCTACTTTGTTGGAAACTGCTAAATCATGCAAAATTTAGCAGAATCCTTGATGCACTGTCGATACAGTCAGACATGACATGTAGGATAAAAAACACACATTCACAACTCCAGATATGGGAAAACAGAATTACATAAATTTATCTCATGCTAAATAGTAAACTAATTACAATCTAACCAAGAAGCATATTCGGTCATCTTATTCACTCAAACGATAGAAAGAAATAAAAAGACAAATGCAGAGTATCTTAAAATAAAATAAATATTAACCCAAAAAAAATAAAAATAAAAATAAAAATAAAAAATATGTACCTCAACTCCAAAGTCTTTCACATACACATTAGTAAAGAGCTCAGAAGGATCTGGCATGGGGCTCTCCTGGAAAGCCAAATAAGATATTAATAATACTAAAACAAACTTCCAAAGGTATTCTTCAAGATTCTCCAAAACCAAGCAAAAAAACAATGCAAAACTTCTCACCTTAGCTTGTGCAATGGCTTCATCTACTTCTTTTCTCATTTCTTTCTCAATATCCTGTCGGAAAAAGTAAGAACAGCCAAAAATCTCTTAATAATAATGATTTATTAGGATGAAAGCTCACACTGTGCAAAACATATTTCCACATTACCTTCAGCTCCTTTTCAGTGGCTAGATCATGAGATAGAACAAGCTTTCTAATTCTTTCAATTGGATCACGTTCCTGGACACAAAAGCGGATACTAATTAACACTTTGTACTGAAAGCTCAAGAAATAATTATTTCCAATTTACACTCCCACGAGAGAGAACATTAAAAATTAATCCACCTGTCTCACGCCGCTGATCTCATCACGTGTGCGGTATGTGCTGCCAGGATCAGACATGGAGTGCCCATGGTACCTGTAAGTGTCCATTTCAAGGATCTGAAAATAATCAAGGGAAAACATTAATGTGTTACATGACATAAATAGAAAAAGAAAAACATACATCTTATCAGTAAATATTTAGGATACAACTGAGTAGCACATGCCATGTCAAGTTGACTAAGAGAGGACACTCAACAAACAGAATATATAAACTTCCAGCGATAAATATACAAGACAATGAGTCCTGTACATTGCATTGGCAATTTGAATGCTGACAATAAAATTATTTTGACACTTAATTCTCTCCGAACTCATCTCTCTCTTCCCTTTATCTATTCAGATATGGATTATCTTCACTGGGAAACAGAGACTTAAATAGTTGACAAGGCAATATGAATATGATTAAGTCGTTAAGTGTAAAACAGAAGAAAAGACAATTAAAGGTGAAGTTCAAGTGATCAATTTTTTTAATAAGAAACACTAAACTGGTGTTCTTGAACTATGACATGCTATACGCGAATTACCAAAGTTACAGAACATTATCTTCATTTATCATTTTAATGAAACAGTTATATGTTAACAACACACACGTGTTTAAACATTGATGAGCTGGAAAACTAAAAATACGCAACTTACAAGAAATTTTTCCGTATATAAAAAATCAATTAAAATGGTTATCTATGTTTTTGAATAAGATTTATTGCTTCACTGCCAAGGCAGCAGTCCAGGTACACAGGAAGCATAAGTTCAATCAATTATATCAATAAAAATAAAATGTCCATAGTTATATAAAAAAAAATTAAAAAAATCCAAATAACAGAAGTCTAGAAAACCAATGTCCCCTGTTCCTAATTTAAAAAGTAAATAAGAGAAAATGCTGGTTTCCCTGTGCCTTATAGCATCACGAACAAATCCTTCCAAACTAAATCCTGGCTTTCCCCATGAAATGATTTCCTCACTATTGACAATAAACTAATGAAAATGAAGACTGCTATCTACAAACTAACCCATGTTAAGTTTTTCAATGTGTTTGGTGTCTAGGTGTCAGCTAGATAGTCTGGTACTACAAAAGAAGAAAATAATATTGCATGAAACTCAATTTACATATTCCTCATCATGAAAATCTTGTTTTCTTATTTATCATTAAGCATCCTCCACAAAATCCTTCCAGTACATGCTTCTGCAAGTACACATGCTATCTGATAGAAAGGTTAACGTCAATGGATCCATGTGAGATAGCCATAGCAACGAAAAGGAATCACAGAGAAAAGAATTATCTTTATATCAGTATTCACAAAGCCCAGTATGCACTCACAATTGGTCCATTCTTCAAAGCATGCTCCTTGGCAAACTTACATGCTTGTTTGACAGCAAAGGCATCCATACCATCTACCTGTTTTGAGACATGAACGTGGAATGGAAAACAAACAATAGAATAAATAACAAACAACATAGGAAAGAAACAATTGTTTCACTAGACAAGAAATTATTCAACATCTCCAAAAATTTAATATAGGGAAGTGGAGTTCAGAAACTTTAAATTCAAGTTAAATGGCCCACGAAATCCTATTGCTGTGTTGTTGTATAGAAGTTCAGTACAAAGAGAGACATTTTCTTTCAGACTTCAGCTCAGGAGAACAGAGACAACCTAACTAGAAATGTGGCATAAAATAAAGCCTTGAAATTGAAAACAGATTAATCAAAATTTCTACCAAATTCTCTTCCCTGTAGAATTCTATACCTTCCCATTCTAGTAGAGTAAATATATCCCCTATCTATATTATATCAGAGAATATGAAAGACAACTGACACAACATCAATGTCAAGCAATAAACTTGCCTTCAAACCAGGAACATAATCCCCTCTTTTGTAATAAGCAGGACTCTTTGCAGCCTTCCATTCTGCTGTTCCCATCCCATCTGCAGCAACAATCCAATTGAGAGAATCAAATCTACTACTATTAACTATTTACACCCAACTCATACCCAGATATCTCCATAAAATAACTCAAACTGATTAAAAATGGCATATACTACATCATATACAACTGCATTACAATGGATGTGTAATTACTCAGGAAACTGTTAATTTGCATAAACAACAATTTCACACCCCAATTTATAATGACTGCATTTATTACCCCAATCTTTAATTAAGGTACATGTTTGCAGCAAACTTACAAAACATTGGCGCCAAACCATCAAATATAATTCCGAATAACAGTCAAATCACAAACTATACAGAAACATTCTAGTGATTATGTAACTGATAAAACAATATTAAAAAATCAACCTTTTAGAATAGAAGTATTGGAACACACAGCTTTGTTACATGAGAACAGATATATTCATGAAAACTAATTTCGCATAGAATCGCAACCTGTAATTACAGACTCCTACAAATAGTCTAGCTCTATAACCATTTCATTACTTACAATGATTATTCTCGCAGACCAAAATCGCGGGCAAATCCCACAGAGCAGCCATATTCAAGGCCTCGAACAACTGCCCCTGATTTGCTGCACCATCACCGTACATGGCAAATGTCACGTTCTCATCTTTACTGTATTTCTGTGCAAACGCCAATCCACACCCCAATGGAATCTGTGCCCCTACGATACCATGCCCTCCATAAAAACCACTATCCTTCTTGTAAAAATGCATCGAACCTCCTTTCCCTTTAGAACACCCATCCTTTCTCCCCATAAGCTCTGCAAAGACTTCAAGAAGTCTTCCACCACGGCCTAGGAAGATACAATGGTCACGATAGGCTGTGATTATGCAGTCTTTCTTAGTAATCGCAGCCTCCATACCCACTGCCACCGCTTCCTGACCATCATAAAGGTGACAGAATCCCCTAATCAATTTCGCCTTATATAAAGAGTCGGCGGCGATTTCCATTCGACGCATAAGAGCCATGTCACGAAAAAAGGTCATAAGCTCCTGAGGAGTAGTCTCGACCGAGCGAGATGGCGGATCGATCTTGTGGCCGGTAAAGGGGAGAGATGTCTCGACTATAATTGGGGTGGTAGAGGTGGTGGTGAGGAGGCGCGTGGAGGAAAGTGCGGCGGAGAAGGGTTTCAAGAGATCGGTGGTCCGGCGAGCCAACTGAGCCATTTTGGCCGTAGGATGAAGGCCGGATTCTAGGTTGGACGTTGGGGATTTTAGTTTAGTTTTGTAAAAGAATATGTGCCTGCTGTTCGAGGAGTGAAGGGGAGAATCCTGGGTTCGGTTGTGAGCGATGAGAAATGGAAAAGAACACAATGCTGGAAAGTATCTTAAAAAACTGAGGAAAAATGGAAGTGAAAAAAGTCTGCGGCTGGCTGCGGAAATAATAATAATAATAATAAATCAATAATAAGTTAACAACTTGAAATTACTTTCATGGCCCTTGTTTGGTCCCATTATTTTAAAAATATTTTTTTCTATCTTAATTTTTATTATATATTTTTTTAATAAAATAATATCACATGCAAATCCAATTTTTTTCTATTTTTAACTACACATCTTCCATTAAAATATTATTCCTAAATACATTTAAGCCAAAAAAGTATTTAAACAGGCTCACAATAAGATCACTAGTCTTCGTATTTCAATTTTCTTCAATCAAATAATTTCTTTTTAATTTAATTTTGCTCAAATAATTATGTCCAATTTAATCCCGTAAGGTTGATGAAATCTGAATCGTTTGGCATGACTTTTGAAAAGTAAAAGGAGTTTTTGAGATTCAAAAGCATCTTTTAAACATATTTGACTAATTTCATAAAAAGTGATTATTTTAATTAGAAGAGTTTTAAAAGAAAGCTGATCACATGTGGCTTACTTAAATTTTTTTTTAATTAGAAGTTCTTTTAAATATTATTTTTCTAACGAAAATTAAAAAAATTTTCTCTAAAAACTCTTTTATAAAAAGTAAATGTAACAGCGAAAGTCATTCCTATATTTCATGTTAGTAATTAACAATTACGTCTGATGACAATTATTTATTGATTATCATATCACCTATTGAATAAAATAAAATTATAGTTATCTGAATGAAATTTTGGGAGTGTTTGATTCCCATTTTTTCTAAAATATTTTTTTCTTCTTTTCAACCACTTATTTTTCATTAAAATAATTTTACACACAAATCAAATATATTTTTTATTTTTTTAACCACATATTCTCCATCAATATATTATTTTAAAATACATTCTTAAAAAAATGGAGCTCAAACACTCGGTATATTTAAGTATAAATTATCAATTGAAGAAAATCGGGGTGTCTGTAATTGACACTAAGTAAAATATAATTACTACAAATGTAATTAGTACAAACATTAATATTGAAAAAGATTTTTTTTCCATGAGTCTATTAGTGTCGGATATGCGATTTTCGACCAGTATTCTACTTTACGACCAGTATACTACTTTATTATTATAAAATTAATTTGAATTCAAATATTTCATATTGGTTCTTGTTAAATAAAACATATTTTGATTCTCTAGACATTTATTGTCTCTTATACTCATTTTTAACTAATATTTTTTAAGAAATATCATTTCTCATGTCATCTATAATTTTTTTTCAAACGGTTTGACCATTTATTCCCCAAAAAAAAAAAAAAAAAAATTCAAATAAGCATTTCTCAAAAAATCTTTATCAAAAAAGTTGTAAATATATTAAATTCCTTTTGTTTTTAATTATTCTAACCTTAATATTGAGTTTAAATAGTGAATAGTATTTTTTTTTTTAACGACAAATGAAGAAATTAAAATTGGGAAATTAAAGCAGAATTATAATATTGGTTATTTTAATTTTGTTTGGATTTGTTTGGCATGAATTTTGAAGACAAAATGACTAATTTTATGAAAGCATTTCTTTTAATTGGAAGAATTTTTTTAAAAAAGTTGATCTAATATGATTTTCTCTAAAATTACTTTAGACTAGAAAACTCTTTTAAAAATTAGTTTCTAAATAAAAAATAATATAGTTTTGTCAGAAAATTGCTCTATAAGAAGTAAAACAAAAACAAATATCATGCCAAACGAGCCCAGAGAATCTTCAATAGGTCTAAAGTTCCAATTAGTACTAATTTATGGCAAGTAATATGCTCAATAATTTCAAAGATAACCAAATTAAGGTGTTCGTAGAATGGCAAATTTTGAGTTCAATGATGAGTATGCTCTTTAGTTACCTCTTTGAAAATCCTCTACGTCAAAAAATCACACTATTGATTAAAAGATCCAATACTGATGTATGGTGATCTTTGTAATACCAAAGTCAAGCCCTAAGCTGATGCCCAAGAGAAGTCGTTCGAGGGTCAAAATACGAAGTATTACATAAGGTTGTCACACCTTCGCACTATTGATATCAGAGCCATGTTATCTTGGTCTTACTATCTCTGATGTTGGTTATGCAGTATAATAGAAATTGGGAAAGACACCTTGTTAATCGTGTCTGTTGAATCTTTTAGTGCTTTCATATTATCTTCTTTTACCTCTCTTCAAAGATCTAATGCGTCTAAAATAAATTCCCTTTATAAAATCTCCCACCTACCTGATTCTAAAAAAATTCCTATTATAGATCTACCTTTTGTAAATCCATACCTTCCTTATAACAAACTAAGTCACTCCATTACTAAAGCTGTCCGAAGCCTTATTTCGCCTTCAAAATCGCAAATCAAAGAATATGTTCATGCACTAAAAAGTTTGATCAACATCTTGCACCTACCACTAAAAATGAGCAGTTTGTTACTTTGGATCTACCATCCTATCTTCCAAAAATATGGTTATTTGAGGCTTTTACTCATATTCATTTTGGAGCTGTAAGAATTGCGCTCACTCTCTATGGGAGAAAATGATCCAATTGTTTTAGAAATTGCTCTTCTAGACACATGCTTTGCTGATTATCAACATGTATGTATTGGCACTATTGAATCTACAAATAAGTGGAAATAATACCAGTTACTATGTTTCCAAATTTTGACATACCAATAGAAAATCCATTTTTATTATCAATCTTAAAGATCCAGGTCCAAATAGTTAGAATAGTTCCATTTGCATAACATTTGGAGCAACTCTTCATTACAAGATGATTTATAGAATACAAAATCATTCTCTTGATTTCGCCACTCTTCGTGATACAGATGATGCCCTTTTTAATCAAATGGAATAGACCAACCAAGCTGTATATATGTCCTCAGACAAATTTCAAGATCTGAGCTCATTAAATTAATCCTACACACATGGATTACTAGTTATGAGCAAATCACCAAGATCAAGAGATTCTATGCCCATCCAATCATTAACTCATCATTTCAGATGAAAATTTAATGGTGAAGTTAAAATTATGTTCAGAAGAGAGCCATCAGCCAATAATCCTCCTTTCTTCTCAACATAATTTAGTTTTTTTTTTTAATGGAGACATAGTTATTTGCTATTTCAATACAGAAAGCAAACCTATCAATCTTAGATTCGATGATTCGTGACATATTTACTGGAATGTATGTTCTATTCAAAATGTATGATTGAAGATGATTCCTCCTAAAAACAGGAGAAAACAAAAGAAGATGAGTAGCCAACAAGTTGCATATAGCCTACGAAAATTAATCTTCGAGAGTTGGTTTATTAGGAGAACCTTCTGGAAAGTTTGACTGTTACGTTAAATTTACTCCATCTCGATATATAGCTATGCCTATAGCTCTGTTTCATCATCCCCAATAGAAAGATTTTCCTCCACTTTTTTTTTTTGAAAAAGAACAATCTGCAAATTCTTGGAAAATCAAGAATACCACTTATAGAAAGTCAGATGGTTCTGTTGACCAAAATTTTGGTAGTTGAGGTAGTTTTGAACTAGCAGTCAGAAATGAAGTTTATCAAAATTTCCTATTGAGAAAAATTCGGCAAAGTCAACAAAGAATTGAAAGGACTCTACAACGATAAACCCAAATAATGTTAACCCACTCCAAGCTTGTAAACAAAAAAATGAAACCCTCCACAACGAAATTATGACCCTATTATAAAATCGTTTATCCATAATCTTAGGATGAGTAACAAGAACAAAACTTGAGTATGCTCTGCACTTGCCTCTTTGAGGATTTTCTGTATCAGAAAACCCCACTATCGATCAAAGGATCTAATATGAAGGTATGGTGATCTTTGTAATATCGAAAGTCAAGTCATGTGTTGATGCTAAAGAGAGGCTATTCGAGGGCTAGACTACTGAGTATTACACAAGGTTTTCATACCTCACAGTGAATCTACTATTGGTATGTTAAAATTTGGAAACATAATAACTAGTGTTGTTCCCATATTAAGTATAGTTTCAACAATTACATTACATGCATGTTGATTATCAACCTTAAAGATCCAGATCTAAATAGTTGGAGCAATTCCATCTGCAGTAACACATGGAACAACTCTTTATTACCTGATGACTTGCAAAATACAAAATCATTCTCTTGATTTCACCACTCCCCAAGCTACTGATGATGCCTTTCTTATCCAAATGAAAACGGACCAACTAAGTTGTACATATGTTCACAAACAAATTTCTAGATCTGACCTCATTAAATTAATCCCACATACATGTAAGGGTGGGCTTGGGCTGGATCGATTTTTCTTCCAACTCAATATAGTTGATTTGATCTAAATCAAACCAAATCGATCAAGTTTGGATCAGTTTGGGTTAGGTCGGTCAGTTTGGGCTTCGACCTAATTAAAGTTGGCTTCGATTATTTTTTTGTTGTTGAATTTCGACGATTTTTTAAAATTTAAAATTACTTGAAAACCTCCATTTTCTAACAATTATATAAGAAAATCTTTTTGAAAAATAATAAATAAATAAGTTTAAAATTATGAAGCAATTTCTTTTTTACAATTTTTTGGGATTCATTTATTTTATCATCGTGTCCTTAATTTTTACTTTATCTTCAAATAACTTTGCATTTTTACATTGTGTTTATGTCAATATGTCTTTGTAAAAAAAAAATATGGACATTTATAAATTATACGTAATTCTCTTATCTTTATTATTGTATCTATTTTTTTTTTATCATTTTAGGTATTAATCATTTAATTCATAACCAGAGACTCAACCTCAAATTTTATTTTTTAGCACAACCCAATCGAATTTAAAAACCAATCGATTTAGTTTGGGTTGGTTGGTTTGAGCGATTTGGATAGTCCCAACCTTACATACAATAATATTGATTACTAGTTATGAGCAGCATCACCAAGTATTGAGAGATTCTATGCCCATCCAGTCATCAACTCATCATTTCAGATGAAAATTAAGTGGTGAAGTTGAAATTATGCTC